TTATTTTACAGTTCCAATTAAGGACGTCCGCGATGGCAACACTACTTAAAATCGATTCGACTCTTAATTGACTAACTAAATAGGGATATTATGTGAACGTCACTCATTGGATTGTAATAAAACACGTAAATCGTATAAAAGATCATCTGATAAAACTTTTAAATCATCTAAACCATTATCAGATAAAACTTTTTAAAGTTTAATCTTGTAGTTTTTTTTATACAATTTACTTAATTTATTAAAGTCTCATGAGTGACGTTCCCAAAATACCCTATTTAATTGGTTAATTAGGAGTTAGATCAGTTTTAGGTGGTGACGCTGTCATGAAAGTCTTTAATAGGAACCGTAAAATAAGTTCACACATTAAATTGACTGGGAATAAAAGTTAAGAACTAAATTAGTACTAGTAAAATAGTCTAGGAACAAAATTGGTGATTTTCCGTTTCATTGCTTTCAACGGATTCGACGGAATTGTGCAATTGATCATGTTTAGGAGCTTAGTATAGGCCAATTGGCATTAAAATATTATAGTGGACTAAATAATTTTAGCAAAGTTTAGTGGCTTGTGGCACTTTTAACATTCTTTTTTCCTTTTTCTTTTTATTAAAGAAGGCTATTTTGTAGTGATGCAAGGATTAACATTTTACAAAGGTAAATAATGTTAGAACTCCGAGAAAAGTTTGAGAAACTCCATCTTCCCTTTTAATCCACAAGAAATGATGGAGTGCTTGAGGTATTTTTAGGAAAGCAAGTATCATTTGCCTTTATAAATAAATCAAAATGTCAACACACAAGATGGAACGAAACAGAAGCGATGAATTCGGATCCTCTACCATATTTTAGTGTTACGCCACGTATTAACATAACACTCTTCCTTCATGATTTATTAGCATAACATGCTTCCTCCATGATTTACAACTATAGTAGAATATTAAATTAGGGGACATGTTTTAACCTAATGGATAGTATAATAGAAAGTATAAGACCAAAATATAAAAAATAATATAATACCATAAGGAACTTAAAAAAGGGATAATTTCAAAAGCTTCTCTTGAGGTTTCTAATAATTTCACTGGCCTCTCATGAAATTTACAAAATTACACTAACCTTCCCTAAGGTTAAGGTTTTGGTAACAAAATCAATCCAAATAAAAAAATAGTATCATCAAAATGTACTCTAAAGGAGAGAGATGAAACTTTTATTTCATAAATACTTCTTATACATGTGTACAAGTTCTATTAGTAAAAGAATGAAAACAACTAAAAGTTGGAAAAAATTAACACACATTCTACTATTCAACAAGTTCACATTCGACACATTAGACAACACAAATAAACAATAAAACTATACAAATGATCACAAGATTCAATGAAATAGATTACCTATCTCTCTTAACATGAAGTTTGCTATAACTTTTGTGATTTTGAGTAGAAAATATTTCTAAATTTGCCTTTTTCCTCCCTATTTTTTCCTTCACTTCCACGAAATTTACTTTGCAACTATCATGTCTTTAAGAATTTCAAAGAAAATTTCCTCATAACAGCCTTCTTTTTCTCTTTCTTTGCCCCTGTGTCTTTTCCCCTTCTACCAGAGCCCTTCTTCTCATATTGTACAACTGATTTCTAATTATTGTCAAGTTCTATCAATCACAAAATGGCTCCATTTGGTATATCAATTAGCATCATTTTGTAATAGTAAGTTACTGTTCATCATTAACGAAATTTCCAACAGTTATTTTCATTAATTAGTTACTATCAATTAATTAATGCCCTAATTGCTCAATCGTCAGATAGTTTCTAATAAGACATAATATTTTAGGGTATATGAGTAATTTCTCCCCATATGATATAAGCAATTGAGCTCACAAATCTGCTAGGGGAGGTCAATATAATTTTGCAAATCTCAGAAAAAGGTCAGTGAAATTGTTAGAAACCTCAAGAGAGGTTTCTAAAACTATCCCAAAAAAAGTTAGAACTTGTTTGGAAATAAGCACATGATGGAGGTAATTCTAATTAAGTGCAAATATCACATACTTAAACATTATAACTTAACATGCACTGCATTGATGGTAAAGCGAAGACATTATAGTATCCGGCTAGGAGTCTTGGTGTGTTTGCATCGTTTCAGTAATCTATTAATAGTCTTTTTTTTTCCTTCTAGATTTCTCTGAAACAATTGGAATAAACTGATTTTCTGCATTGTCCTTGTCTTTGTTGCTTTGTGAGCTACTGGTATTGTTGCTTGCGCAAGATGTTTGATTTGTTTTCAACTGCACGGTTTTGTGGAAATCTTTGAGAGCTTGTATGACCCCTTTTTGTTCTTGAGTATCTGATTTCCAATATCTAAACTCTTCAAATGCATCTGGTTTTGGTGTTTCTTTTTGCAATCCTGCTTCCGCGTCATCATTTGTAGAGTCATTTGCTTTTGAGTTGACTTTCAATTGATCCTTCAAACCAATCAACAAATCACGCTTATCAGCCATAAGGAACTTATATCTGTAATCACAAACTCAAGTTTAAGGGCTAAATTAATTTGTATTTGAACTAGGAAGAAAAAAAATTAGCATAAAATGATTTTTTGCTAAACTATTTTCCTCGCAAAAGTTGACAAATTTCTTTGTTTCCACGTATCTGACAATTCAGGCAAGTATCAAAATCTTTAAGTATAAGAAGACCAGCTTAGGGTTCTCAAGATGCTTATAATAATTCCAAGCACAAAAAATAGTATAATAATAGTAGTATACTATGATGATGATAACAATAATAATATAACATAAAAATAAAAGTTTCTAATATAACCAATCATTCGGGTTATAAATGTGACATGACAAGTTGAGGTATACATGTCAATTCTTGTCCTTTAACAAGTTACTAATTGGTTAATCATATCAACTCATGAGTTGATTCAATAATACTCATTTTGATACCTAATTGTGAGACTAATTTCTTTTTTGTGTTGTGTCTCGGTCAGGTTTCTTGCAAGTCATATTAATGTTGTGTCATCGTATCCAAAAGTGCCATCTCTAGTTATTTTTTACGCAATGAATAATTTAATCGGTTATTTTAGTTCCAATGAAATAATAAGTTGATAGTTGGGCTTTGGGGATATTAATCAAGTGACATGAAATTCCTGATTTGACTCTCAATACCTCCCTTTTTCCCCTTCCCCTTTTATAAGGTTTGAATTCTCCTCTTGAACAAAAAAAAAAAACTCCATCTTTAAAATGGTTGATGACTTGAAAAGACAAATATCTAAAACATTTTTTTAAATTTTAGTGTCAATGTAAAAATTAGCCTTCCATCGCAGATATACAAAATGGGACAACAGGGCCTTAGCAATTGAGTGCCTTTTGTACGAGATAATCTAGACACTAAAACAATAATCTTACAGACTAAATTGATAAATGGCTATAATATGTACTATTCATATACGAGGCAAAGATGCGTCAGCCTGCACTGCATCCGCAAGTAGTAAATATAAATTCAAAATATTCGCCTTAAATTAACAAATGTAAATAAATTTTATTTTTGTGCACAAAAGGTCATATTTGTGCATCAACTCTTACTTGTCGGCCCCTAAGTGGACACAATGAGATCAAATACTTGCAAATCTGAAGGATAAAATGAAGGTTTATCTTTTAACACCAGAAAATTATTAAGATAATCCACATAAGCAATTTAAATATTCTCGAATTAGCTCAAAATGTGGGCAAAAGTTTGGGGACTTGGTAGGAGCAAACAAGAAATATTTATCATGTTCATTAAGGGAGAAAATAATTTAAGGGTGTAGTTAAATTACTCAAAATGGAAATCTGTAACCAATTTAGTGGAAAATTCCTGATTAAAATAGAAGTTCCAATTAAAAAAATGTTGGAGATATTTTGTAGAAAGTGCTTGCTAATAGAAGAATTAACATTAAATTTGAATAAACAAGTATTCTGCTCCATTTATTCCACAAACCCTCGAATTGGAATGAGCGTAGATTTAATTGTTATGTAGTGTTTTCTCACTGTTTTGATAGCAATATCCACCCTTTTTATTTTACTCTTCTTTTTTGGTTACATAGAGTTCAAAATGGCATGGTTTGTAAGTAAGACATCTCACACATAAGAATATTGTGGTATATCACACCAACTTAGAGTTACCCTCTTAAAGTGGCTATACGATTTTCCTTGCGTAATTGAATTGAATCAAGGCAAAGTAATCTATTGTACTAATACGCTGTAGGTACCATATATACCCTTGCATGCCTTTCATCTAAAGGATTAAGATATTTTTATTGCTTTTGGTACTGAATAGGAGGGTGACACTTCAAATTGGAACAAGAACTTTAGCTCATTTTCTGCCACAAGCAGGAAGCATAAGAATCCAAGTAACCGGAAACCTGTGAAATAAAGTAAATTTGGATGCCATCAGTGTAGATTGCAGTATTACTTCATCTACAAGAGTGGTTAATTTCAAGCAATTACAGGAATAGATACCAATGCAATTTCTTACAAGCTAGTAAGGAAAAAGCTAAAAATAAACACTAAGGAAGTAAAGCAAAGTATTGCGTGCCTTTGCTGTCTACTACATGAAGCTTATTTGGAACCTTTTCTTCCTTTTCATACTGCTTTTATTGTCCCTTCTTGCAGCATTTCTTCCCCCAAAGGAAAAGAATATTGAAAAGCTTCAACTTCTATTTAATTACCAAGAGAAAAATTAGAACCACCACCAACTTGTAGACTTGTCATTTCAATTACTTGCATGTACAACTCTTTCTCACCTTGCAAATTGCTTAATCCCACAATCTCAAAAATATCAAAGTCGCTCTTACTCTCAAATATAGACCTAATGGCGGATGCATTGCTTGGTTCCACGATTCAAGTCCTAGTGGAGAAGGCAATAAACTTGGCTTCAGAACAAATTGGCCTCTTTATTGGCTTTAAGAAAGATTTGGAGAAACTGAAGAAAACGTTGACTCGAATCCAGGCTTTTCTTTGTGAAGCGGAGAAAAAATAGATGACTGTAGAGTCTGTGAAGCTTTGGCTAGAAGAGCTTGAACGTGTGGCTTTTGAAGCTGAAAATTTGTTGGATGACTTCAACTATGAAATGATTCGACGCAAAGTTGAGATCCAAAGCCAAATGAAGAGGAAGGTATGCTTCTTCTTCTCACTCTCTAATCCTATTGCATTTCGTTGCAAAATGGCCAACAAATTTCAGAAAATCAATTTGGATTTAAAAATTATCAATGAAGAAGCTGTTCGGAATATTGCAATGAACTGGCAAATATTGTGACAAGAATTGACTTCAAATCGTGATAGATATCACTTTCCTTTATGCTTTATTTGTCCGGTATACCGTGCAATAACCTTGGAGAAACATCCTTTAGAATAAGATGAAATTTGTTTGTCTTAAACTCTTGCACAAAGTAAGACAAACCCTTTTTGAACTAAGGAGTGCTTTTGAGAGAATACACAGTAGTAGGAAAGTAATTTTCTGCAGCAAATCACTCTCCACTTAACCTCTTTATATAGGAAAGATTGTTTAAAAAACAAAAGAACTCATTAAATACTTGTATGAATAGATTCAAAGTATTGTGTACAAATTCATGCACTTTAATTCATGTATCTCATGATTCTAAGATCAAAACATGAATCTATCCTTTTATTCGAGGATTCCCACATACATGAATATATTCATAAATGAATGTACATTTTAGAAACATTCACAATACTATACATGTATCAAAAACATGAATGAATATACATTAATTACATGTATGTACATCATACAAATTTTGAAAAATTTCCAACAGAAGCATCGCAACTTAGTCTCCAGCCACATATTGGAGCTAGATATGCACCTCGTGTTCTTCCTCCTCCCATTGTAGGAGGTTTTACAAAGAACAGAGAGACTGACTCTATTACTATTGATGTGAGTTTTGTTGGAAGAGAAAATGATGTCTCAGCAATAGTAAAAAAGTTGGCTGCCCCAAATAATAATGAAACTATCTCCGTTCTCCCTATAGTAGGGATGGGTGGGATCGGTAAGACCACCTTGGCTTGAAATGTTTTTAATGATCCAAAGATCCAAGAACATTTCGTGGAGAGAATGTGGGTATGCGTGTCAGATGATTTCAATGCCAATAGGCTTTTTAGGTTGATGCTAGAATCATTGAAAGAACGAATGCCCGAAGTTGAGAGTAGGGAAGCCAGAGTCAATTAGCTCAAGGAATTATTGGATGGTAAAAAGTATCTATTGGTCTGGGATGATGTTTGGAATAAGGACTCAACACTATGGAATGAGTTTCTTGGGTACTAGCCAAGCCATGGGGAGCTAGATTCTTGTGGCCACTCGTGACCAACAAGTGGCAAACATCACGAGAATTTTTTCTTCTCCTTGGTCCTTGAAAGAATTATCAAATCATCAGTGCTGGCTCATTCTCAAAGAAAATGCATTTGGCGCTGGGGAAGTGCCTAATAGACTGCAAGAGATAGGTTTCAAGATTGCGCTAGAATGTAGAGGCTTACCATTAGCCACAAGAGTTCTCGGTGGCATGTTGCGCAACAAGGGAACAACTGACTGGGAAACTTTAGAGAGTAGGCTTCAAAGTTTAGGTGTAGGTGAAAATACTAATGTTGATAAAATTTTGAAGTTGAGTTTTGATCATCTTCCATATCCATCTCTTCAAAAGTGTCTTTCATATTGTTCAATTTTTCCCAAGGATTTGGAAATGGAAAGGAATCAACTGATCCAACTTTGGGCGGCAGAAGGATTTCTTCATTCAAATCAAAGAAACAATATGTGTATGGAGGAGGTTGGTAACATGTATTTTACCATTTTGTTGGATAGTAACTTGTTTCAAGATGCAGAGAAGGATGAGTATGGGAATGTTTTGAATTGCAAAATGCATGATCTTGTGCATGATATGGTGCAATCCATTTCCAGTTCTAAAACTTTAAGGTTGATAGAGTCTGGAAGTGATGATAAGGAGACGTTTCCCATTCAGTATCTTGCACCAGAGAGAAGTGAAAAAGAAATGCCATTTCCCCCTTCTAAAAGGTTCAAGTGTATTACAACATTATTTTTGTTGGAAGACAGATCACTTAATGATAGAAAGATTTCATTTTTTATGTTGCGAGTTTTGAGCTTAAGGTCATCAAGTGTCAAGGAGCTTCCTAAATCAATTGGCAAGGTAACTCATTTGCGATACTTTGATTTATCAAGAATTTCAATCAAAATAATGCCAGACTCTCTTTGTCGACTTTATAATTTGCAGACATTAAGAGTTGGAGATCGTGAATCATTGACAAAGTTTCCAAATAATTTCAAGAATTTGGTGAATTTGAGGCACTTTGAACTGCGAAATTGCACAAACTGCAAAGAGTTACCAACTCTTGGATACATGCCCTCTCTTAGATCTCTTCACTTGGAAGGACTTGATGGCATAACAATCGTAGAGCCTTCTTTTTATGGAGAATTAGCCATGCATAGTGGCGCTAGCAATCAAAGTTCCCCAAAATTGTTTCCAAAACTAGGACATTTCATTCTAAGAGACATGAAAAATTTGATTGAATGGATGGAAGCAATAGTCCATGACAGAACCGTGGTGGTATTTCCTATCCTTGATATGGTAACGATTGATAGCTGCCGTCAATTAGCCACTTTGTCATTTTCCATGTCTCAAGAAATTGAAGATCATTGGACCAAGAATGGATCAGTAGTACTGGCATATATTTGTAGCGGAGTTAGCACTCTCACTAGTGTTCACATTGAGGATGTGAATGGGCTCGCCAAGCTACCAATTATATTATTTCAAAACAATCCAAATCTTGCAGATCTCAAATTAAGCAATTGTCGGGATTTGACCCAATTTTTGGATTTTCCATTTGTTATTTCGCAAACTTTAGAAGGTCCAAATTCCCAAACAATACTTGGGCTGAGCCAACCACGCGCTTATATTGACAATAATGCTACTCCATGTTTGGTTGGTCTTGAGTCCCTAGAGAAATTAGTTCTCTTACAAGGGAGTTTTGTTTTCTTATAAGCTTGAGAAGGTTAATGATTGGACCATTTTCAGAAACCACAAAGTTGCATTCCTTTCTAGACCTCTTTGATGCTCTCCAACCACCCCACCACTATTTGCCCTCCCTTTCAAGATTAAGTCTAGATGGATGGCCTCATTGGGAATCTTTGCCCCGGCAACTTCAGCACCTCTCTGTCCTAACATTTATTCGACTGGTTGGTTTTGGAGTAAAATCATTGCCCGATTGGTTTGGGAAGCTTTTGTCACTTGAAGAACTTTGGCTCTTAACGATGTAAAAAGTTAGAGAATTTACCCTCTCTGTGAGGACTCACAAAATTTACTTATTTAATCTCCTATTTCTAGCTTATTTAATTATTTATTTGGTCTTTTACTCCGAATATTATTTTCTAAGCTCTTGAGACCTAATTACATGGAAATATAGTTTCATTATATTTTTAAAATGACTTGTTTCAAAAATTAATTTTCGGAAGCTCGTTTTGTAAAAATAGTGAACACGTCTTTGGAAATCTTGATCGATTGAGAGTACAATAGGTTTGAAATATTGGAGACATGTACAATGGACCTAAATTAGGCATTTTAATGTTTAAATATTCAAGTGATAGTTATTAGTACTATCGTTATAAGAATTTCTCGGAAGTTTCGCGTTATTGCGCTTAAATTGGAGATACGCGTTTTCACACGCGCAATTTAAATTGAGGAACTTTAGACCCTTATTTTGAGACAATTAAGAGTGAATAATATTTATATGAATATAAATGCATTAGAAGTTTAGTACACTAGTGAAACAAACGCGAGAGGAATCGAGCACAAAACGCGCGCGTGCGCGCACTTTTTGCGGTTGACTTTTGTGCACCCAATCCTTAGTCATTAAGCTTCCTTTGGAAGCCTCATTTCAGACCACAATTTCTCTCTCTTGCTCCCTCATCTGGCCGAACAACAAAGCAAGAAAAACAGCTCAAGAGTTCTTCCAATTCCTCCATCAAATCTTCACCAAACCTCTTCCAATTCACTCCAAATTCGAACTACACTTAGCTTAACACTTGAGGAGTATTTTGAGCTGCAAAAGGGAGCTGAAAAGCCACGGTTTTCTGGAGCAAAGAGTGACCAAAATTTCTGATCTAATCATCCAAGAAGGTAGCAAATCATCCAACCCATAGATCTTAGTTTTTGTAAGATTTATTGCACATATAAGGTTATATAATCATGTGGGTAGTCTTGTTTATGGTATAAAATGTGAAAGTGGGCTCTATGAACTCCCACTCTTGGGTTGTTGCTGATTTGATGTTGGATGATGAAATTAATGGTGGTTTAGTGCTTATATTAGTAGATTAATGTTGTATTGTTGGTAGAAAATCAAAGGAGGTGCTTGGAGCAAAAGTGACCGTTTTACCCCTGCCTTGTCCGACCGTTTTCGTGCCAGATTTTGAGATTCTAATGAATTGATTATGTTGTTTATCTATTATTGTAAGTGTGTACAAAATTTCATTGAAAAATAACATGATTTGGTTGGTCAAATGAGTTGATTTCCAAAGTTAGCAAAACTGGAAAATGAATCCCGTATTGCCCAGGCAGTCATTTTGTAACGGCCATAACTCTTTGTTCCGATGTCGAAATCAAGTGCCGTTTGCGGCATTGGAAACTAGACATTCCTAGCTTTCTATCGGTACCAATTTCACATTCTGGTTCCACTTGAGTGAGCCACACCATTCGATTGAATATCACTGTCCTGTTTCGTTGCTCTCCAGGAGACAGGACAGAAATTGCTTCTTGATGCTCAAAAACGAGCTATTTGTGAATGGAATTTGAAAATGGTTTCTTCTGAGAAAATTCAGATTTATGTGAGAGCTTTCTAACGCCATCAACCACGCTCGATTCCAAGTTGAATTGAGTGAGTTGTGGTCATATTTCGAAACTGATGCAGTGAGTAAAAATCCTCTTTTGACTAGTTGAATGGCCTAGCTTGACTTGGGACTTGTTGTTTTGAAAACTTTGATGTCCGACATCTACCAAACTTTAGATTAGATGTTCCTTGGACTTTGTTTCACAAATAAACCAGATTTGGGTTGGTTGCTTTGGACAAAATGTTTAAAAAGGAAAGAAGAGCTAGAAGACAGTTTTACCTTGGGAAATTTCCTGAACTTTGATGGTTTAGTTAACTACCTTCCCGTGTGAATTTTCAAATGAATTTGATAGAAGAGTAATCCTCATATGGAGGTTTAATTGTACAAAATTTGGTAATATTCTAAGACCATTTTGATATGCAAATGATGTCACAAAATTCGCTCATCGAATCTGGAAAACTTTTCGTTTTCTCTTAGCCAAATGGTCAAATCTGATTTGGAGAGTTTTATTTCTAGAATTGGATGTCAATGGTCTTTAAATTGCTCAGTGGATGTTTATGAACTCTTGGTTTCAATAATGGAGAGATTTGGAACTGATTTCATGGTACAAAAAGTTTGTAAACGAAAGAAAAGTGAGAAGGTAGTTTAGCCTTGAAACTCTTCATAAACTTTGGTTGTTTTAATGACTACCTTACCGTGAGAGTTTTTGTACGAAACTTAGTAGAAATATTGTTCACACATGGAAGATTTAGTGTACCAAGTTTGATGTATTTCTAATGCCAACTTGATGACCAAATGATATTTCAAATCTAGTTTTAAACCTGGAAAATAGCCCAACAGTCTTAACTTTTTCAGCAACTTGGAGGTACTATATCTTGGTGCTCGAAACTCCATTTCTCGTTCCGCTTGTTTTGTTATACTCTTGGATTGCAACACTAATTGATTTCCAAATTTCAAAGGTTAGTTCAAAACAAGTGAATTTGCCGAATTTCCAAAATTGGCCAAAAACCAACCTTGAAACTGTCTTAGTATTCTACAGCAGTAACTTTGATCCAACTTTTGAATACCTTCCATTTGGGATCATGGAAAAGTGTCTTCTAGAAACTTGTATTACTCGGAATGTAGTTTCCAATGGTATCAAGCGTTCCAATTTTGGACCTACGTAGTGCAAGATACGATTTTTCTAAAATTGACACCCAAAGCTGAAATTTGGCAATTTCTTAGAAAATGAGATTTTGGAAACTTGCCTTCTTTTCTCGATACCGATTGAACATTTTGAACTCGATTTCATGAAAAATGTTAGTCTCTCTCTTTAGACTTTCAAACTCTACTCTTGAGCCTCGATTATTAATAATTAAGGCCCAATTTATGAATTCCCCTTAGATTGTACAACCTTCTTTGATAAGTAGGAGTTCTAAGTGATAGTGCATAATAGTTAATGGTTATTTGCTCAGGCGCTCAAGGGGACCTTCAAGAGGAACTCGAAGTGGACGCCTAGACACTTGTTTGAGTATTTACTCTCTTGTTGCAATAGGTGAGTGTTCCATATAGGAATACGTAATTGGAATAAGTCTATGACATGCTTAACCCATGGTCATTAAGTATTTACCACACTCATGCATATTTGAATAATATATACTTGAATTGCTCGACATGAAACACCTGAAGTATGTATATTTGAACTATTCGATATGAAACCCTTAAAGAGCATACTTATGTGATTACTTGAAATACTAGATATGAAATGTTTGGAGAGCATATTTACATGATGTGTTTAAATGATTAATTATGCTATGGAAGCATAAGTCGGTTGGAGTGAATCTCCTCGACTCTTACGTGGTGAAAGTGAAAAACGGCCAATGGCGGCCTATTGAAATGACATATGTCTACCAATTAACCGTAATTACTACCGTTAACCGTTTACCGTTTACCGTTAACCGTGTTTACTTACCGTTTTCTAATCTATTTGGTTACTTGCTTACTTGGTTATCTGCTTACGTGATCACCAACTTACTTGGTTACTTGACCACCTGATTACTTGATTATCATGAATCACATGTTATATGAAGCTGTCCATCATTATTAGGCGAGTGTGTATTTTACCTCACTCGACCTACTCAAATGATGAATTTTACCTTTTGTCGAATTACTTGGTTACCTGTGCATGTTGTAAGCTCTAAGCTGAACTTGGGCCCTGCCCTTGGTTACTGACCTACTCGAGCCAGGATTGGGCTCGGTCGGGTAGGTTGGAACCCTGGGCCACCGTTTCGGTATACTCGAGTATTACCACTGGAGGGATAAGGCGATGGCCAGACTGTACCGTGGGGATCGGAAGTCATAAAGTGCAGATGACCGACAGAGTTCCACTGGAACACCGTATCCTACCGTATATGTTTACCTTGTATCATGATAATTGTTTCATGCTAAAATGTCAACATGAAATCCTGAGCCATGCCTGTGATATGCTCCCTACCTGTTACCTGTCCAATGTACTCATATCATGATACCTGTTTCATGTTAATGCTCCATACCTGTAACATGCTTAATTACTCGCACCTGTAATAAGCTCCAATCACTCATGAACTATACATGCCAATGTCTTGAACCATGATAACTGTCTCATGATAAATGTTTCATACCATGATACATGTCTCAAATTACCCGTACAATGATTATCACTTCATGGTAACATGCCATTGTGTAACCTTGAACCACGCATATGATATGCCCAACCTACTTGATTTATTTGAACTGTTAGAGTGTATTGGAACCTCACTGGGCTGTGTAGCTCATCCCACGTTGTGGTTTTCTTTTACAGGGTTCGAGACCAAGGGTGCTCGTGAGTAGTACTAGATTATTTTCTTTTGAAAACTTTAAGTTATATTATAACGGATGGCTATTGTACCCTTTTCCGTTGGGTTGTATTTAAGCTTGGAAGCTGCATAATTGTAAGTGTGAGATATTTGGAGTACTTTAATTATGTATTGAAGTTACTTAAAGTATTTCGAGCTTTTGAATGATGGATTGTAGTGAGTCCTGGCGAGAGCTGGGCAGGCGTCCCGCGGATACCCTTTGGTTCGCCTTAGGGAGAAGTGGGGGCGTTACAATTGGTATCAGAGCTTAGGCTTCAGATTTTGTAGTGTATCCTAGGCTTAAATGTTTAGGATGCCGGACTGTGGGACTATTCTGAAAGTTAAATGATTGCTTGTAGTGATGAAATTTAGAGCCACTTCACGTGGTCTCTACAAAGGAGCAAGATAGGGCCAAGTGGTGTTTGGTCCTTACTATGTGATTAAGTAAAGACTTAAGTGCCCTTCTAGAAATGTAAGTTGTGAATCATGAATGTTATAGGTTGTAAAACCTTTATCTTGATAATTGGAGGGAATTTGATATGTATGTTGGGTAGGAATCTCGAATGTGGTGATTTACTCTTGGGACCGGCCGGCTCGAGATGTGAATTATCCTATTTTGGATTCTTGAACCCGAGTACTTGGGAGTGGAAAGCAACCATAGGGACTTTATATCTCCATTTGTGGGGAATAAGAATGAATCGATATTTCATGTGAATGGTTACAGGAAACCAATAATTGTTTGGTTAAGATGGTACAATAATTAAGAGTGGAAGATGGAAAATATCGTAACCCAAAAGATCCTTGTGTTGGGATTGAAATCGAGCATGTTAGGGAACGAGAATCGTCTAGTTCCAATTAATCTAGTGAATCTCTACTGGTGATCTTTCATAGTGAGACGATGGGAGTAGAACTTAAGAGTTTGCGCCTTGGAGATGAATGTACTTGTGATAATCACTTGTTTATTTTTGTTATTGACTTTGACTTGGCATGAACTTTACTTGGCCATAATTTGTGTTATGATTTAATGAACTCTAGTTTGTGTTTACTTGCATAGTGATAATGTTATTTGTGAAAGTGTCTTCATCCTCTTTAAATGTTGCTACTGGTATATGAGTGTAGTTCAATTTTAACTAAGTGTGAGGGTTATGCATGTGCGTATAGATTAGTTGTGGACATGGAAACTAGAGGACAACGAAAGGGACGTCAACCTAGACAACCCCGAAATGAAAGAGTAGCTAATGGGTCCGATATCGATCAAAACGTTGAGCTAAGTGCTGGGAGAGGAAATGACCAGATAGGACAAGTTTTAACTCGCATGACGGATATCCTAGAGCTCTTGGTAGCTCAACAAGGTCAAGGTGTTGGACAAGGAAACCAACGTGGAAACCAAGAGATAGGGGAGGATCGAGCTTTAGAGCGGTTTCAGAAATTCTCTCCGCCCAAGTTTGCTGGAGGGCCTGATCCAGAGGTGGCTGAGAATTGGTTAGAAAATATAAGAAATATATTCGATGCCTTGGATTACACAGAGGAGAGACAAGTCATATTTGCTGTATTTCAACTTGAAGGAGCAGCCCGAGCATGGTGGAATGTTATAAGAAACAAGTGGGAAAGAGATCAAACTCCGAGAATTTGGATAAATTTCGTGCGTGAATTTAATGAGAAATTTCTTCCTCCACTTGTCCAAGAAAAGAGAGAAAATGATTTTATAAAGTTTCGTCAAGGAACTTTAAGCGTAGCTGAGTATGAAACACGCTTTACGAAGTTATCTACATATGTCCCAGAATTGGTGGCTACTGAACGGAAGAGAATAAGACGGTTTATCCAAGGATTAGATTTGAAAATCCAAGATGCCCTTGCCGCAGCACAGGTTGAAACATTTAGTGACGCTCTTGAAAAAGCGCAAAGGGTAGAAAGCACAAAATCTCAACTGAGAGCTTTTCAAAAAAGGAAAAGAGTTACATCTGACAGTACACTAGGAAAAAATGGACCACCACTCAAAGTTAGAAAAGAAGTGGATGAAGTAGGACTGTTACTTCCTGCACCACTCATGATAAAGGAACCAAAAGGAACTATGTCACGAGGGACTTCAGTAGGACAAACACGATCAAAGAAAACCTCGCAAGCAAGTCAGGTCACAACACCTCGTCCGACTTGTGGATATTGTGGAAGGACGAATCACACTGAAGAAAACTGTTGGCTAAAGGGACGAAAGTGTATGGGATGTGGGAGTACCAATCATAAAGTTCATGACTGTCCAAGGAGGTATCCACGAGAAACTACTGCTCAACAAGGAAATGGAACTGTTTCTCGACAAGTCAATGGAAGGAGAAACCGACCAATGGCATCTGAAAGAACGCATGACATGAACACCCCACACGGTTCAGAGTTGTCTGAGATTACAGAAGGTATGAATTTCGAGGACGAAATTCTTTTAAGGAGGGGAGGTTGTGAGGACTCGCAAAATTTACTTATTTAATCTCCTATTTCTAGCTTATTTAATTATTTATTTGGTCTTTTACTCCGAATATTATTTTCTAAGCTCTTGAGACCTAATTACATGGAAATATAGTTTCATTATATTTTTAAAATGACTTGTTTCAAAAATTAATTTTTCGGAAGCTCGTTTTGTAAAAATAGTGAACACGTCTTTGGAAATCTTGATCGATTGAGAGTACAATAGGTTTGAAATATTGGAGACATGTACAATGGACCTAAATTAGGCATTTTAATGTTTAAATACTCAAGTGATAGTTATTAGTACTATCGTTATAAGAATTTCTCGGAAGTTTCGCGTTATTGCGCTTAAATTGGAGATACGCGTTTTCACACGCGTAATTTAAATTGAGGAACTTTAGACCCTTATTTTGGGACAATTAAGAGTGAATAATATTTATATGAATATAAATGCATTAGAAGTTTAGTACACTAGTGAAACAAACGCGAGAGGAATCGAGCACAAAACGCGCGCGTGCGCGCACTTTTTGCGGTTGACTTTTGTGCACCCAATCCTTAGTCATTAAGCTTCCTTTGGAAGCCTCATTTCAGACCACAATTTCTCTCTCTTGCTCCCTCATCTGGCCGAACAACAAAGCAAGAAAAACAGCTCAAGAGTTCTTCCAATTCCTCCATCAAATCTTCACCAAACCTCTTCCAATTCACTCCAAATTCGAACTACACTTAGCTTAACACTTGAGGAGTATTTTGAGCTGCAAAAGGGAGCTGAAAAGCCACGGTTTTCTGGAGCAAAGAGTGACCAAAATTTCTGATCTAATCATCCAAGAAGGTAGCAAATCATCCAACCCATAGATCTTAGTTTTTGTAAGATTTATTGCACATATAAGGTTATATAATCATGTGGGTAGTCTTGTTTATGGTATAAAATGTGAAAGTGGGCTCTATGAACTCCCACTCTTGGGTTGTTGCTGATTTGATGTTGGATGATGAAATTAATGGTGGTTTAGTGCTTATATTAGTAGATTAATGTTGTATTGTTGGTAGAAAATCAAAGGAGGTGCTTGGAGCAAAAGTGACCGTTTTACCCCTGCCTTGTCCGACCGTTTTCGTGCCAGATTTTGAGATTCTAATGAATTGATTATGTTGTTTATCTATTATTGTAAGTGTGTACAAAATTTCATTGAAAAATAACATGATTTGGTTGGTCAAATGAGTTGATTTCCAAAGTTAGCAAAACTGGAAAATGAATCCCGTATTGCCCAGGCAGTCATTTTGTAACGGCCATAACTCTTTGTTCCGATGTCGAAATCAAGTGCCGTTTGCGGCATTGGAAACTAGACATTCCTAGCTTTCTATCGGTACCAATTTCACATTCTGGTTCCACTTGAGTGAGCCACACCATTCGATTGAATATCACTGTCCTGTTTCGTTGCTCTCCAGGAGACAGGACAGAAATTGCTTCTTGATGCTCAAAAACGAGCTATTTGTGAATGGAATTTGAAAATGGTTTCTTCTGAGAAAATTCAGATTTATGTGAGAGCTTTCTAACGCCATCAACCACGCTCGATTCCAAGTTGAATTGAGTGAGTTGTGGTCATATTTCGAAACTGATGCAGTGAGTAAAAATCCTCTTTTGACTAGTTGAATGGCCTAGCTTGACTTGGGACTTGTTGTTTTGAAAACTTTGATGTCCGACATCTACCAAACTTTAGATTAGATGTTCCTTGGACTTTGTTTCACAAATAAACCAGATTTGGGTTGGTTGCTTTGGACAAAATGTTTAAAAAGGAAAGAAGAGCTAGAAGACAGTTTTACCTTGGGAAATTTCCTGAACTTTGATGGTTTAGTTAACTACCTTCCCGTGTGAATTTTCAAATGAAATTTGATAGAAGAGTAATCATCATATGGAGGTTTAATTGTACAAAATTTGGTAATATTCTAAGACCATTTTGATATGCAAATGATGTCACAAAATTCGCTCATCGAATCTGGAAAACTTTTCGTTTTCTCTTAGCCAAATGGTCAAATCTGATTTGGAGAGTTTTATTTCTAGAATTTGGATGTCAATGGTCTTTAAATTGCTCAGTGGATGTTTATGAACTCTTGGTTTCAATAATGGAGAGATTTGAAACTGATTTCATGGTACAAAAAGTTTGTAAACGAAAGAAAAGTGAGAAGGTAGTTTAGCCTTGAAACTCTTCATAAACTTTGGTTGTTTTAATGACTACCTTACCGTGAGAGTTTTTGTACGAAACTTAGTAGAAATGTTTTTCACACATGGAAGATTTAGTGTACCAAGTTTGATGTATTTCTAATGCCAACTTGATGACCAAATGATATTTCGAATCTAGTTTTAAACCTGGAAAATAGCCCAACAGTCTTAACTTTTTCAGCAACTTGGAGGTACTATATCTTGGTGCTCGAAACTCCATTTCTCGTTCCGCTTGTTTTGTTATACTCTTGGATTGCAACACTAATTGATTTCCAAATTTCAAAGGTTAGTTCAAAACAAGTGAATTTGCCGAATTTCCAAAATTGGCCAAAAACCAACCTTGAAACTGTCTTAGTATTCTACAGCAGTAACTTTGATCCAACTTTTGAATACCTTCCATTTGGGATCATGGAAAAGTGTCTTCTAGAAACTTGTATTACTCGGAATGTAGTTTCCAATGGTATCAAGCGTTCCAATTTTGGACCTACGTAGTGCAAGATACGATTTTTCTAAAATTGACACCCAAAGCTGAAATTTGGCAATTTCTTAGAAAATGAGATTTTGGAAACTTGCCTTCTTTTCTCGATACCGATTGAACATTTTGAACTCGATTTCATGAAAAATGTTAGTCTCTCTCTTTAGACTTTCAAACTCTACTCTTGAGCCTCGATTATTAATAATTAAGGCCCAATTTATGAATTCCCCTTAGATTGTACAACCTTCTTTGATAAGTAGGAGTTCTAAGTGATAGTGCATAATAGTTAATGGTTATTTGCTCAGGCGCTCAAGGGGACCTTCAAGAGGAACTCGAAGTGGACGCCTAGACACTTGTTTGAGTATTTACTCTCTTGTTGCAATAGGTGAGTGTTCCATATAGGAATACGTAATTGGAATAAGTCTATGACATGCTTAACCCATGGTCATTAAGTATTTACCACACTCATGCATATTTGAATAATATATACTTGAATTGCTCGACATGAAACACCTGAAGTATGTATATTTGAACTATTCGATATGAAACCCTTAAAGAGCATACTTATGTGATTACTTGAAATACTAGATATGAAATGTTTGGAGAGCATATTTACATGATGTGTTTAAATGATTAATTATGCTATGGAAGCATAAGTCGGTTGGAGTGAATCTCCTCGACTCTTACGTGGTGAAAGTGAAAAACGGCCAATGGCGGCCTATTGAAATGACATATGTCTACCAATTAACCGTAATTACTACCGTTAACCGTTTACCGTTTACCGTTAACCGTGTTTACTTACCGTTTTCTAATCTATTTGGTTACTTGCTTACTTGGTTATCTGCTTACGTGATCACCAACTTACTTGGTTACTTGACCACCTGATTACTTGATTATCATGAATCACATGTTATATGAAGCTGTCCATCATTATTAGGCGAGTGTGTACTTTACCTCACTCGACCTACTCAAATGATGAATTTTACCTTTTGTCGAATTACTTGGTTACCTGTGCATGTTGTAAGCTCTAAGCTGAACTTGGGCCCTGCCCTTGGTTACTGACCTACTCGAGCCAGGACTGGGCTCGGTCGGGTAGGTTGGAACCCTGGGCCACCGTTTCGGTATACTCGAGTATTACCACTGGAGGGATAAGGCGATGGCCAGACTGTACCGTGGGGATCGGAAGTCATAAAGTGCAGATGACCGACAGAGTTCCACTGGAACACCGTATCCTACCGTATATGTTTACCTTGTATCATGATAATTGTTTCATGCTAAAATGTCAACATGAAATCCTGAGCCATGCCTGTGATATGCTCCCTACCTGTTACCTGTCCAATGTACTCATATCATGATACCTGTTTCATGTTAATGCTCCATACCTGTAACATGCTTAATTACTCGCACCTGTAATAAGCTCCAATCACTCATGAACTATACATGCCAATGTCTTGAACCATGATAACTGTCTCATGATAAATGTTTCATACCATGATACATGTCTCAAATTACCCGTACAATGATTATCACTTCATGGTAACATGCCATTGTGTAACCTTGAACCATGCATATGATATGCCCAACCTACTTGATTTATTTGAACTGTTAGAGTGTATTGGAACCTCACTGGGCTGTGTAGCTCATCCCACGTTGTGGTTTTCTTTTACAGGGTTCGAGACCAAGGGTGCTCGTGAGTAGTACTAGATTGTTTTCTTTTGAAAACTTTAAGTTATATTATACGGATGGCTATTGTACCCTTTTCCGTTGGGTTGTATTTAAGCTTGGAAGCTGCATAATTGTAAGTGTGAGATATTTGGAGTACTTTAATTATGTATTGAAGTTACTTAAAGTATTTCGAGCTTTTGAATGATGGATTGTAGTGAGTCCTGGCGAGAGCTGGGCAGGCGTCCCGCGGATACCCTTTGGTTCGCCTTAGGGAGAAGTGGGGGCGTTACACTCTCACCAATCTGTGAGAAGCTTCACCAGACTAAGTTTAGAGCGAGGGATTTGATGAAAGATTTGAAATCTTTGTAAATCCCTTTAGATTGTATAGATGACTTGGAAGGGTACTTGGATTTATAATCGAATAATTATTTAATATTCAAGTGTATATAAATAATTTGTAGATTAACAACTCCAATACCTCCCACTTAATTCAAACTATGTAGAGAGATTTTATAAGATTTTAAACCCTTCGTTAAAATCTCTCAATCCAAATCCAGCTTGATTTTGGTAAAACAAAAATTCAAAGCTAATAGATTTATGTCTTATAACACGTGATTCGTAGGTGCCTACATGTAAGATAAAGAATGATTCCTTGCTTCTTGGCTTCTTTGCTAAACACAAAATGCTAGGTGCTTTGCAACTTAGATTTTTAAAAAAAAAATGATAGAGAAGCATTCTTTAATCCAAGGATTGATTTATCAGAATTTTGACCAACATTTGCAGCGATCCACATTCATGACAACCATGCATAGAGTGCATACAGCAACTAGTATTTTCCAATTATAAGGGACAAATTAAGTAGTTCACGTTGACTTGCAAATCCCACCACTTCTTTGTGGTGTACATTTCAGAAAAGGAGGAAACTATGCAATGAGCACATGCCGCCGATATTCACCAAGAGCCCAAGTAGGGAATATATTTCGATAAGACGAATAGTGCAAAGTGCAATTCTTCATGAATATCCCTGTCATTTCCTGCAGGCAAATCTCCAATATGTTGTGGAAAATTAAGAGAAGTGTAACAAAAATGAGAAAGGTCTATAGCTGGTGTTTAAAAATCATAAAAGAAAAAAGGTAAAGAGATTTTTTATTGAAAAAACGTAAAAAGTTGATTGATGTTTACCACACAGAATAAACAGTCATCCAAATTTGAATACTATACAAAAAATAGAAGGAAAAAATCTACAGTACACACCTGCTGAGGAAAGTCACCATCTTCCATTTGGGAACTTCCTAGTAATCTTATTCCACGATTTATTGGAGTTGGGTCAATCTTGGCCTGGTATTAATTTTAACAATAAAGCACAAGTTTATCATATATTATACATGAAATGCTCATACAAGGAGAATCAATAATTGGTGGGGCACCCAAAAAAAAAAAAAAAAAAAAATTGGTGGGGCATGAAGAACCCTCTAGACTGGGAAAATTCCACACCTAGGAAAAAGTATGACACCCAAGCAGTGCATGACACGTGTCTCCCAAACTTTGAGGATGTCTGATGGGTCCGGTGAGAAGAGGTAACCGGTTGCATACAATAGGTGGAAATTGGGGCATGACATTGCACGGTTTTGTATGCTTTTATTTTCTTAACCTCAAACTTTAAACACATACATATTTTATATTATACATCCAAATTAAGCATAAAATATGTTATTGGAAAGCTTATTTACATATTTCTGGATGGCATATCAATGCAAAAATTTGGTCTTAAAGAAGCGTACTTAACTTGCAATTTGGAAAAAAAATGTTAGATTATTAATTAATTAATATGTGATACTCCCTCCATCCTATTTTTATTATCATGTTTTCACTTTATTAATGTTCCAAAATAGGAGTTACTATTTTAGATTTAACATATGTTTTTCAATCTTACCACTTTAGAAAGCAACTTTTTAAAATTTCAATACGCATCGATTAAGATAATATATATTGAATTCAAAGGATACATTTGTAAATTCACCAATACCACTTCATTTAAACATAATAACTACCATGTCCTCATAAAAAGTTGGATTTCCAAAAAAAACTCTAATATTGGGACGGAGAGAGTAGTTGTGATTTTTTTTAAGTTTATACATGGGGATAATTTCATAAACCTCCCCTGCAATTATGAAAAATCTCAATTTTGACTCATTTTTTACTTAAATTATTTCATGTCATGTTTTGTTCAGGTATGTTTCGTTTCATGTCCACATAGTGTTAGGAATTGTCATCCCTACCTTTGGGCTAATGGCAATTTGGGTTGTAACCAAAAGAGAACCCAAAAAAAAGGGCTGTAACAACTGGAAATGACCCTTTCATATACCCCCAACATAAATTAATCTTTCATATACCCAAATTTTTATTTTTTTTTACTGACAGGTCTGGATGAATAACAGAAACTAATATGCAATTGCCAATCGTATTATTACTTAGAATAGGATTTTTCTTTCTCTAACTAACGAAGAAGCCAGCGTTCGACACCGGTCTCTCTGCCCCTGCTAATTGATTTGGTCCTTGCCCTTGCGGATCTAACTATCTAAAATATTTCAGGTGCCTTTTGATTTTCCAATTAGCTTGTAGCAAATTTTTTACTTATCAAGATGTTAAAGTTGTTATTTTCTAGCATTTCTATTATTCCTATACCAATCAAAGATTTTTATTTTATCTTGTAGTTCTGAGTTGCAGTTTCCAAGTGTCTGACAGACTGACACCCTTTTGAGTCTTTAATGCAAAGATTTGCTTCTCATCTTAGTAGTACTTTTTCTCCAATGGGACTCTCACTAACCTGTCCAGCAGCAACGAGACCCAACAGTGCCCATGAAGTTTGTACCAGATTCGATCTATTTCCTTCCAGATTGGTGTAAACCTGTTACAAATGAAATACTGAATCACTTCAGTAATTAAAGAAAAACAACTTCATATTGAATTATGTTTCTCAATAACGATGCATTGCTTAGGGTACGAGGCAGGAAAGGCTGGAAGTAAAAGGAAAATTGGAAAATCTTCCAACCTCGTTTGAGCAAGAAAGATAACTCTCTCCCCATCCACCATCAGGTAATTGCTTTGATAGCAGAAATTTACATGCCTTGCGAAGTGCGGAAGAGTTGTCATAGTCCCTGCCACAAGCAACCAACGCTTCCACTGCAAACCAAGTCCCATAGGTGTAACAAATTCCCCAACGACCATACCTGCAAGTGTGAAGAAAGCAAAATTTTTGTCATCTCTATGTATTTGCTATTCTTCAAAGAATTTATGCAGGTCGACAATCTGTATGTGTGTGTGTGTGAAAACGAACCATGAACCGTCATCTTCTTGTTCATTTTCAATATAATCTATGGCTCTGGAGATGCAACTTTCAACTTCAGCTTTTCTGTGTCCAGGATACAATTTCTTAAAGAGTGATAGTGCTTGAATTGCTGAAGACGTGCATTCCACATACCTGGCACAAGTTTCAGTCAAGTAGATTTTCGTAACAAAGAGAACTTTTTATACTCTTGTAAACATACTTCTGCAATGAGAAGGGAAGAGATCAAGAGAAATCTTACTCTCGCTCGATAAGAACATCCTCAAGAAAGTCAGTAGGATTGAACTTCTGAAAGGAATTATTCCAATTGGACTAGAGTAAGGACAAAGTTGAGGTAATGGCAAACTAATCTCAAACATCAATAAGGATAACAAATTATTGAAGTTTCAAGTATGAAGATGTAACTATGTTAAGGACCATAACAGAACTAGTATTTACAGTTACCTCCATCCAACGATATGCTCTCTCCGGCTCCCAGGCTGGAAAGCCACCATTTTTACTCTGTGGATAAATTGAGATGAAATCAGGATGTTATTCTTGTGTAATGGAGAAGATGAACTAACCTTCAAAACTATATCTACACCAATCATAATTGAGTTTGACCAATACTTAATTAAGGGACCAGGGAGTCTGATAGATACTACTAAGATAATACAAGTTCAGGAATGTTTTGCCTAGCCTGCATACCTGTAGAGACAAAATAGCATTCACAGCGTCATATGCATGCGCTGTTTCAAGCTTTTCCCCCACAAGTTCTGGTGGCAATTGGCCTAAAAGAAGTGCAGCCTATAATAGAAAAAGGAAGAAATTTTGAATGGTTAACGAGACAATACTGATACTGCATCATGACCGGTAATATAACCTTAAACAAATAAATCATAATCAGTACAAAATAGCATTGTAGCTATACCTTTAATCCTTCTGCCGTACAGTCTGATACTTGCCAACCATGATCTTGCATTGAAAATGTCCAACATCCTTTAGAAATGTGCCTATGCATTTTGACAAAATCCCCTGAAGGGTTATCTTGCACCTTGTAGTAGAATAAAATATGGTTCAGTCAGAAGCTACATTCTTGGTTAGCTTGACAGTTGAATGACTTTTGCTTATGTGCTTGTACCTGTGATGCTTTTATGAAGTCATGTGCTTTCTTAAGTGTTGGCCCATATTCTTCAGCGAGGTTACTGGATAAGATTGCCTGAACTGCTAATGCTCCATCCCATGTTTGGCTACCGAAACTCTGCAGAAGTAGTTTACAGATTTAGTCAAGGCAGATTTCATTTAATCTTCAGTACAATGAAGGCAATTACACAAATAGTATCAATTTTCTTGTAGGAAAAGAAACAAAAAAAAAAAAAAAAGGAGAGTGGGGAAGCATGGAGGGAAGGATCTGGAAGTTATCCACTTG